TTTCTCCCGCATATCTTTCTTAACTCATATATGCATCAACAAATATATTTAGAAAAATTTGCATCAATATGTTAAATTAAATCTATATATCAAACCTAAACTGATATAAAAAATAGGCAACATATTTCATTTATTAAGGTTGTTGAATTTTTCACAATTAATTCTCTCTGTGCATTTACACTTTTCAAGTCTGTAATAATCTCCCGTAAATGTTTCAAATGTAACTAAAGTGCCGACCTCAATACCAGAGATCGACCTCGTAATTAATATAAGAAGTTTACTTTCTCCCGCATATCTTTCTTAACTCATATATGCATCAACAAATATATTTAGAAAAATTTGCATCAATATGTTAAATTAAATCTATATATCAAACCTAAACTGATATAAAATATTGTTAATAAATATTAGGTAATATGAGTTCTAAAACCTACAATAATAAGTACTCCCTCCTATTATTTTTATTTGTCATTTTGGCTTTCTTGATTATCAATGAAATAAATGACGTTTTGAATCTTTTATATATTTTTTCATTGTACCCTCATTTAATTAATACATTACTACAGGTTATGGGAGAAAAGTTGTGGAAGACGATATAATTTTTTTCTCTTAAAAGAACATAAAAAAGTTGAAAAGAAAAAAATTAATTAACGCTTTAAATAAAATTAATATTGGCAATATTTTTTTTTTTTAATATATGTGTTAAATTCTTAAAGCACATAATATTTCAAAAGAATAGAAGAAAGTAATAACTTAGGCGACTGGTAAGGTGCATGCACATGTAATTTTGAATAATGAATAATATATTTATTATAAAATATTAAAAAAATGTGTATTTAAAACTTCGATATATCGCGACATTTTATAGTGTCATAGAAAACGTGCAATTGAATATACTTTTATTCAATGAAAATTTTATGAAATAAATGTTTTGCAAAAATTAATAAGTACTACTTTATTTAATATCAAACTATGTGATAATAATGGTTGATGGTTATAAATATGTAACTCAATGAATAGTAGATTTTATAAACACATGTGTAATGATTCACTTTTAATATAAGTTGTATACAAAAAATGAAACAAATAAATAAAATATAAATATAATATATATTTGTACCCTTTCGCAAGTGCCGTAAGTCGTACCAAATATTAATACCCCCAATTATAATTATCATTGTTGAAATCCAATTTCTCTCTCCCCATTTCTCTCTTTCTCTCTCTATCATTCACGAGCAAACCAGCAAAAATATTCAACAGTCAAGGCTGGGCCTGTTTTGCTAACAATCCAGGTTTTGATTTCATGTTCTCCTCCTTTTTTTTTTTCTCTGTTCTGGGTCTCTTATTACATGCATTTGATAGTTGAATTTCTGTTGTTCGCTTCTCAAAGACTTGATTTTTTTTCTTGCCCTTGGGCATAAAGATTCAATTTTTAACCCTTTTTTTCCTGAGTACTTGCTGGGTATCCTTTTTCTCTTTTCAGGGTCTCCTATTATATGCTTATTGAAGGAAAAAACTGCTACATAGTTGGATTTCTGTTGTTCGCTTCTCAAAGAATTCACCTTTTTTTACCCGTACCGAACAAATATTCAATTTTTTTCACCTTTTTTTCTTGGATATTTGTGGGATTGAGGATGGAGAGGGATTTTCTGGGCTTGGGTATAAAGCACGGGACTTTTGAAGAGACGACTGATAATGGTAAT